CTCTGTTTGGTCTAAAACGTAAAGTTTCGACAAACCAGTTGTCCATTAAAGACTTTTTTGGTAAAAAGAAGTAACTTTGAAAGAGAAACATTGTTTTTTTTAAAATTTTTAATGCTTTCCCGCATCTATCGTTTTCCCGCATCTATCGTTTTTATTTCCCACCCCCGCCGAAAACGATGCATCGAGGTTTCACTGTATATCTTTTTGGTACACCTGTACATTACCATCACTGAAAAAATTACTAGCCTGCAACTAGCTACTCACTATGTTTAATTTACTTTTACCCTCCTTTAGCAGCAACTTATTAGGTAAACTGTTGTTGTTATTGTTCCTTGGCTCTACAACCAAGTTGTGGGTGTTTGCCGCCTCCTTTTTGGAGGTTCCCTATTATGCTTTTCAGCCAAATTTGCAGCCGAAGCGTGCACCAATCACATGTACTGTGCCTTGGTAGGAAGTAAAGGAGTGAGGTGGAGGGGTGAGAAGGCAAGGAAACAACATACAGTGGTGCAAGATATAGCATTGGTTTCCAGTGAATGGTTATAACACTACTCAAAGTACATGTAAGAACTGGTAACAATGCAGTGCGGCTGCCGATGCTTCTACCACGGGGTTTCTGAACAGACTGAGGTCTCCCTGCTTACCAACAGACCTTCTTTGCGCTGACTGGTCACTCAGAAAGAGCAGAACTCGACCAAGCCGCCAATTCCGCTGAAAAATACTATAGTCTTTAAAGTGTGCATTTGTGAATAGCAAGTGACCAGCTCACTGACTCTGCATAATTTCTACTCAATCCTGATTTTGTCTGCTAGAGCCATCAAGAAGACAATCAGAAGAGACTTGGGTGAGAAATGGCAGCTGAATTTTGCTTACAAAACATCTCATTCAATCTCGATAAATCTATGACATGGGACCGCGAGCTTTACTTCCCCTTTGAAGGAAGTTGTGCTACGGATTTTTATCATCCTTAAAAATTCATCGACCTTGGCTGGGCTTGAACCCGCAAACCTTGGGTCCAGTAGTGAGTATGCTAACCACTAGTCCACCAAGGACAAATATTAGGAAAATTCATCGCCCTGATGACGGAGGCAGTATGACCTCTGAAACGTTGGTTAACATCGACCAGACTACACAGCGCAACAACCCAGAAGACAGAAATCTTCATTAGGAAAATTAGTTTTTAATTTTTTTTTTACCTTAAAGGATATTTATACTTCTTGTACCCTACAGCAACAATTTTAATTGAAAAACGTTTAATGTGAATAAATGTGATATGAACTCAATTTTAATACCATATGAAGGCATTATTTACGCAATGAAAACAAGGTGGTCATATGTGCTCATAAGAAGATTTTCACACTTACTGCACAATGTAACAGACAGGTTACAGATACTTGGAATATCTAGTATTGTTTTATTAACACAGCAGACTCAGTAATGGGTCAATATACTGTGATCTTCCCCTTCACAAAGTTTCCATGTCTGCTATCAATAAAATAATAACAGCTTATAGTGACCACTAAAGTTCCAGGACCTTTGTCCTCCTACCAAATGAAATCTGCAGATTAGGACATCTATTATCAGCTTAAGTCGGGGCAGTGCTACCTTTAAAAATAAACCTGTGACTCCATAAGTGTTTGAAGGATGCAATGTAACTTACTATTGGATCACCTCCTTCTATCCAGGCAAGCCCACAGTGTTTCATTCTATTGTGTTGCTCAAATAACTTCTTCTGCATCTCTTCCTTGCACTTGGCACAGCTAACCTGCCCAGTAAAACAACAGAAAAAGTGAAGTCAACCATATTCAATAACACCTTATAACAACAGAACTTTGCAGAATGATCTGCTCTCAATTTGTAAAAGGTTCATAAGAATCTTTCAACACTTCATGGTCAAAGAAACATCAATGTACTGATTAATCTATACTGAGGAATAATTAACGAGTTATTTGATTATGCTGTAGAGGCCGAGCGAGAAGTGCTGGCACTTGCACAAAGGACTAATTTTGGTCGTATGAGATGGACCCATCAGAAGCATGCGCTAGAAGAGTGTCAGCTTCAGTTGGTTTGTAGCTCTAGCTGTGTTTAGATTTGTGCGTCACGGCAGCTTAGGCTGTGCGACCCCCATTACTACTGAACTCCCCTCTCTCGGCTTACACATCACGCATTTAGGTGCCACCACTACTCGCACGACTTATACAACTACAGATGTTATTTAGCATCAAATGAGTAAAGAAGTCGGTCATAAATTGTCACAGCCTGTTTCAAGATATTATTTTAGCATAACAGTCAAAAGGGAGAAGAATACAAATTGGGCAATGTAATTACTTTACTTATCTTGAACTTGGGTGCTTTGGAAAGCACGTAGGATCATATTATTCAACTCAAAAATTATTAACAAGCACGGAATATATCCTTTTCTTATTTTCACAACAAATATAATTTTTACTTGTTGCTGTAAACAGGTACTTGAATTTTGATATACAAAGTGAAAACTCAACATATTTTAAAAATAATATGCTTTTAGTCATGCAGTTCAACTGACTGCATGCTGCATTAGCATACCACAAAACTGTTAAGATCAGAATTAAAATATGTTGGCAGCTCCATAATATGGGAGTTCAAATCCCTATTCCTGTATGATAAAGGCTAAACAGATTTGTCTTTGCAGATGAACAAGTAATATTGTCAAATTCAGAGGAGATGACTTGTAGATACCAGGTCACAAACTGAATAAATTTATTCCTGCCATAGGTTTTCAAAGTTTAGCCTTGAAAGTAAAAAAACTCATACACTGAATGAAAATATAGTATGAAAAATTTAACAGAAAAGAATTACATTTTTGGCTATAACCAATAACAAATAAAATAGCGATAAAATATTATTTCCAATTACCTCGGATGCCCAATTACATATTTTTTTAAAGTTATGAGCCTTACCAAAACAATTCCAAACCACATAAGTTCAGAAGCACTTCAGAATAAAAATGTATAATAACACTTTAACACAGAAAAGAAAAATAGACATTAAACATGAAAGTCAATAACAAAAATTACATATGCTGAAATGAAATTCATTACAACAGCAAAATACACCTGAATGACATGTAAAAGAGACAGATATTTAATACAGGACGAGTCAAAAGTATGTCTGGAAAATTAAAGGGCATGTTCTGGGAACCAAAACAAAAGTTGATATGAACAAGAGGTCGGAAATGCTTCCTTACCTAGGTATTGTAACTGAATGGAGAACACATATTCCTGTTACAAAGTGTTTATTATGATGTATATAATTTGCAATTTTGCAAGAGGTGTTCAAAATTCAATCTCTCCACCTCCACACATGCCCAAACACTACAGTGGACTGATAAACATACTGGAACACACCAGGGCATGTTATCAGCAACTCACACACATGCTATAGCTCCTGCTATGTTTTAACTGGTGTTGCATACACTGGACCTGAACCCCTTGGACTTTTACCTGTGGCATCACTTGAAGTCTCTGGTGTATGCTATGCCACTTAACACAGCAGGAGCTATGGCAGCATGTGTGGGTTGCTAGCATAATCCATTTAACATCCTCATAAACTAATCTTCCAAGATTTTCATATGTACACTTCTGTGCAGTTGTTTTCCTAACATTCTGAATACACCCTCTAGTCCACATGCATGCTACATGTTCTGTTAATCCTATCTTCCTTGGCTCAATAAACCCAATAATAACAGGAAGAGGAAGAGTTACAAACTACATTCAACTATTCCATTATCATCATTACAAGCATCATACCTTAACAAGTTTGTCTTCATCAGAGCTCTGATCCAATTCTCTCTCGCTTTGTAAAACTTTGTGCGCAAAGTTGTTGCGGCCCCGACCCCTGGAGCCTCGACCCCTACAGCCCCGACCCCTGGAGCCTCGACCTCTACAGCCCCGACCCCTAGGTCTACCCCTTCTCCTTCCAGACTCAACAGATTGACCACACTGTAGCCCTTGTGTGTCCTTCACAATGCAGATGTCTATCTCCATGCTGTTCTGACACTCTGAACTTGCACTGGGTTCAGAATTTGCTTCAGCAACACTGTCATGTCCTCTCACAGACATATCACTTTTTCCTATTTTGGAGTCCTCAACCTCTTCTGCAACATCAATATCAACTTTGGACTGCACTTGAATGTCACAGATGTTTGTACTCCCAGCATCCTTCATATGTGATGACTGTACATTATTAGCTGGAACAGAAATAAGACATATGTCTGGAAATGCTGGAAGAGTTTTATCTCACAAAATGTTTAGCTATACAAATATCTGTTGATAATATATTCATTAAATTCAAATTATGTTTTACACATTCTGATCATTAGTTTTAGTGCAGTTTCTGAAATATAATGCAAACTTAAACTTGATAACATGGCTGAAACAAAGGAAAGCACATGTAAAGAACAATAAAATCAGATGCTGCAAGGAGGATCTGAAAGCCAATGCAATCATGAAGTTGCCTATCTGCATAGACAAGGTAAGTTCTCCGGAAAGTAGAGAAGTGAAAAGATTCTGAACTGAATAAGAACAATAATTTTCCAAACCTCGAAGACACCTGAAGTGTGACCCTGTTTTTAATAGCTTATATACCAACATTAAGCTGGACACAGTCTATTGCTTTATGAATATTTGTTATACACAACATTTCACGACTTGGTTGAAGATATTTTGCACATTAAATATACCTCAGATGACAATGACGAACATACTATAAACATAACGAATCTTCAACCACCATCACATATATTTTGAGAATCTTAATTACTGATGAAGTTGGCTGCCTTCTGGGTTGTTGCAATGTGTAGTCTGGTAGTTTACTGACATTTCAGAGGTCCTTCATGCCTCCATCATCAATTCAATCACCCTGATGATGGAGGCAGCAAGGACCTCTGAAACATTAATAAACTTCTACCAGACTATATGGTGCAACAACCCAGAAGACAGCCACCTTCAGATTCACTGCCATGAAAACCTCAAATCCTACTCAATTACTTATGTCATGTTACATACCTGAGCATGGAATGTCATGACAATGCAATGTGCCTTGTGTGCCCTGATCACCAGACAGCTCCACCTGCCTGTAATAAAGAGCAATAAATTACAGAAGATGGTGGAAAACACAGTACACAAGATCATTCATACTGTAATATTTAGCACTCATTATACTTAGGTTCTTTTGGGGAGACAAATGGTTTTATTCACTCAGACTTATTCATCTATACTGAACAGGAAACAACTAAAACAATAACACTAAATAAGTGTTCTCCATCAGTTACTCTTCTTATGTCATAACACACTGTTATTCTACTCTCTTCACGCCTGCTAATAACTGCAAACTCCTGCCATATCACACAATGACGGCTCAGTCCACACGACACACTTTATCTTTTGATAATCAACTAAAGACTGACACTGCACCAATTCTCTTGTAGTGTATAAACATGGAGACACTTTGGGATGGTTATGGAACATTCCACCATTTCCAGAATTGACACTACTTGAGATGTTTCTAGCATCTGTAGATCTCACTGCTCCGCAGCATTTTCAGTCCAGCTGAGGAGCTTCCAGCAGCTGACACATGCAGCATATTGATGTCAATGTAGGTATGGCGATGGCCAGGAACCCATTCTCGCTCCATAGACCCGCAACAATGTACAGTATCTCAGTAAAAAAGAAAAGCTCTTGGTCATTATACAAGATCATCTGCTGGATCAGTACTATTCAGGACTACTGTCTCTGTGAATGAGTGATGTCAATAAAATTTAATAGGGATATTTTATGTAAAAAAATCAGGTAATAATCAATTAACTGTGAAGTTGCTGGGACATGAGAAATACGGTAAACACTTACAGTTCCAATACAGAAGGAAATCTGTAGAACATTTCAGAGATACAGGACTGTAAAAAACAATACTGTACGAAGTGGATTTCTCAAATTTAGAAATACCTAAAAAATTACTCTTTACAATCCAAAAGAAAATTTCACCACAATCAAATTATTTTTCTATCCAAGAAACAAAGGGCGAGGGGACAGAATCAGAGCATAATTAAATAGCTTCATCTGCTACAGAAATAAAGTACAAATTCAAGATCAAATACAGATGTCACACAATCTTGAAATGTTCTCAGTCATGGGTACCTTGATTGTGACCAGATGAACACAGTCATCAAAACAAGGTGGCACACTGTGAAATCTCCAAATTCAATAAAGTTACAAGTACAAAAGTGGAATCTACACGTATTACAACACTTCACCAATAAAACTCAGTATAAATTTTCTGCAAGAAACAAAGAACTATTCAAATTACATCAAGCACATACTTTATCACCAAGGGGGAACTGGCAGTCTTAAGATAGGTACCTTGTATCACCAAGCTATCACTCAGGTTCCCATTTCAGTACCACTGCTGAAGTTTAGATGTTATGAAGTGTGGAGAATATTAGGCTCCTATCCATAATCCAAATCCATTAGTCATAACTGCCCTATAATGACACCAGAGGCCATGAAGTTTTTATTTTTCTAATATTTGAATTTATTTTCTTTCAACCTTTATTTACATTTAAGAAAAAATATGAGGAGATTACAAAAGACAGAATTATGAAGACAGTTGTATGCTTACATCACTTCTGGTATGGGACTAAAAAATTCAAGAGCAATATTTTTGTTGCACAATCTGTACATATAAGGCTTGAAGTTTCCACTGTCATGTTAATGATGTTCTGGATTGTGACACCATGTGCACTCACAGGTAGATACCATGTTCAGCAAAATTATAGTGTCTCCTTATTTAGCTCTTAAGATGCGGACAGTATTGTTTTAAAAACAACATTGTAGTGTAGTATCCACACTGTTGGAGACTTCTACTTGCAATACATTTCCATCACAACAAATAAGGAACATGAAACTTGAAATTAAAAAACACATTTCAACTCTTACTATCCAGAAGAGTCACAAGGATGGAACAATGGGTGCCCACAAATAAAGACCACTTTCTGTAACACAATCATCCTGCAGGATGTCCAGGAATACGAAGCATACACTCTCTGTAATAAGAGCATCCTGTAAATGAGCTTTGTAGAAGTAAAATGTATTTGAGGTATAACCACATCCAAAAATACATCACAAACTTAGCTGTCATGTCCATAAAACAAAATTTGTAATATAACTGAAATGTAATGAGATATGAAGATGAGACATTTGTAAGTGGGGTAAGGGAGGGTGAGGAAAAACTACCGACATACTGATAACCTTCTGTGTATGGAAAACCTCAGCGTCTTTTAATGTCAACATTTCACTGAATGACCTGTAAAGAGACATTTCCAACTGGGCATATTAGAAGGTAACATGTTTCAAATTTCAAAAAATATTTTTAGATCTAGATTCTGAGAAGACAATGGAGACCATTACATAATATGAGCCTTTACAATCTGTAATCATTACATAACTTATATAATAAAATGTCTGGGAAATTAAACGAGTAAAGAAGAAAAACAAAATTTTGTCTTGAATGTATCAGAGAAGATAACTTTTGGGAAAGAAATGTCGGAATAGTATCACAAGTCAGGACACAACCACTTTCTTCCACATCCCTTTCAAATCATTATACACGAATCACCCCATCATTCCATGCCATTAAAGTGTAAACTACTAACAGCTACATTAAATTAAATAAATAAAAGTACTGAAGTTTATGCATCAAGGAATACAAATCAAGGCAATGTTCATTCCAAACATGGAGATGAAGATAAAATTACAGAGTATTTCCTTCCATGCAATGCAGCTATACTGTCCATTTACATATACTCATGTAGGGCATCAGACTAGATATAGCAGGGACTATATTACATGCACACTCGAACACATGCATTCTGTACTTACTGATCCTGTTGTCCTGAAGTAGTAGCATCTGATTTCTTGTTCTTCAGAGAAGCCACATTTTTTTTGGACTTTTTCAGCTGTACAGGGCTCCTGACATCAGAGAAAAATACACCATAATGCAACTCAACATCATTCTGTGACCTCACATCATAATCCAACATGTGCACACCATACTTACTCATTCTGCTGTCTTGCAGTAGCATCCAATTTCTTTTTATTCGAACAAGCCACTTTATTTGCATACTTCCTCAGCTGTACAGCGCTCCTGACATCAGACACAAGGGCATTAGAATTAAACATCATTCTATCACATATGCACAATCAAACTCATGTATGTCATACTTACTCATTCTGCTGTCTTGTAGTAGCATCTGATTTCTCTTTCTTTAAACATGTCATTTCTTTTGCAGACTTTCTCAACTGTACAGGGTTGCTGACATCACATATCGTGGCATTAGAATGCAACCTCAACATCCTTCTATTGTATGTTTTCAAAATTTTACACTTGGCATCACCACTGTAATCTTTCGGTGACTGTTCCACATTCTGACAAATGTCAAACTGTTTGGTTATTGTATCACAAATAGGGCCACCATCACAGCTTGTTTCATTATTCACCTGTTGGTATAATTTGCTGCTATAACTGTCATCACTATAAATATTTGAGTATTGCTTCATGTGGGAATGAGATAAAGCATCATCCTCAACATCAATGTTATTTGACTGTCCACTTCCTGACAGATCACTGCTGAAGAGCTGATTCTCAGACAATGAATGTTGTTTCCAATTCATCTCAGTGCTAACACAATCAGGTGGCTCCTCCACTGTACAGATACTGACATCAGAGGCCTTTTCTGAACGTACCACACCTAATTCCCCTTTGATTGTACCTGGAATAGGTGCAAGAAGCTGAATACTGACATCTGGTATTTCTGCAAGAACAACAGATTCAGAATCGGTACTCTTCTCTACACGTTCGATGACAATCTCATTAGCATCCGCCTTGCCTTCACAGTACTTCTCCCTCGCTCCTAAGATTTTTGCAACATTATGTTCTTCACGTTCATAATGAACTATCTCGTCTTCGGAAGATGGAGACTGTTTCTCTGGTAATGTTCTATCAATTTCATGTTTTACCTGAACAACAGGAAAGGAAGTACTGTGATAAACAGATTCATCTCTATTCATTAGGCAAACATCTTGTACACTGTCATACTTGTATTCATCAGTTCCATTTATCTCAACTTTCACTTTATCAAGGCAAAATGCCTCTATTTGTTTTTCAGCTGCCTCATTTTGGTTAGAAGCATTCAATGTGATGATGAAGGAATCCTGGCATAGTGAAGTGTCCTTTTCCACCTGGATGTCTGACTTAATAGGTTTCACCAAACCTAGAGGGGGAATGATACTGTCTTTCTTACAGCTTCCAGAACCACTGGCTGACAACTGAATCTGAAATGAATGCTGTTCCGAGGCATGGGATTTTCCCACGTGAGTGTTGAGCTTCTCCACTGTCTCCACACAGCCGCCACAGTGAGGGCATTTGTATGGACATGGATACACTCCTACATCACCACCCTAGAACAATAAAGTGAGCCCAATAGACTATGGTGCACTCTGTAATCTTTATGAAGTGGAAGTTCAATATTACAAACATAGTGAAATAGAGAAAACCTGCCATGATATATAATGAACATTACTTAATGCACCATCTTTAACTTAGCATGTAATCTAGGAGAACTGTATAATAAGGAATAAACTAAAAGTAATTTTTCACTATTACAAATACTAACACTGCAGAGTTATTTAACTAATTTTCTTCACATGAATCTTCCTTTTATGCTCAACTGCTACTTGGCACATGCTCTCACTCCTGTTCTTCACAAATGCAGATAAAAGGAATGAAGTTAGTGTGACTGATGCTGCGCAGAATTGGTGTCTTGGCTTTTTCTTTGCCCTTCTGCATCAATACTACAGCAGCGAATGATTTATTATTTTTGGTATAAAAATAAACGTGAAATATTTCTTTTATCAAAATAAGGACACAGAAATAATAAGATGACTGCTAATAATAAAATGTGAAGTGCCATCATAGCATTCCGGTGAACTGTCTCCTGACAAATATCTGAGACTTGAATATCATATAAACAAAACTGGAGTTGTAACCACCACCAATGATATTCGGCCATTGACAGGAAATTAACAATGAAATTTATGAGAAAGAAAGAACTAAAGATCATCTGAGAGACCAACTTTAATTTTAGTGCTCAGTAACAAGTAGGGCAGATTAAGGGCAAAGATGAGTCATGAAAAAAAGAATCTTGACAAAGGACTGAATGGCCCAACTGTGAGTAGAAACTATTTCAACAATTGTAATTACATATAAGAATAATTAAAATTAAAAATGGTTTTGGGAAAGATCCCAAAACCCAGAAGAACATCATCATTATGGCGGCTGCTGTGAAAACCTAAAATCTTACAAAACATCTGCAGTTAAATTACCCACATACATATACCATACAGACTACAGCTATATCTTGTGACAAACATTTGACACTTTTTAATTCTTAATGAAAGGTATACAAACTTTCCTTCAATTTAATAATCTCTATCACTTCAAACTGTATACATTTTTGACGTAAATACGTCTATATTTTCGGGTCAGTGTCATTCGGCAAAAAGTGAAAGGAAAAAGTGTAACTGCATTGTTATGTTACCTTGGAAACGTCAATTGTTTACTCGGCATTATTGTTACCAAGGAAACGTCATCTGTTTACTTAGCATTGTTGTTACCTATAAAATATTTCATTACATTAACTTACATTACATTACCTTACCTTACATTACATTACATTCATCTACCACAGACCCATCTTAAGCATAACTAATTCAAGTTAAATAAGCAATGTCTTAATCAAACTTATCTCAATTGTAAAGCGGGTATAAAGGAAATATTTAGAATAAAGCCATGTGTTTATCATGTATAGAAACATTAGCAAAAGTGTGAATGGATTTATTAGTAAGATGCCAGGTTAACCATCTCATTATTATAAATGGAGTTATAATTTATTTTAAAATTGTCAGTATTTCAGTCTGTAAGACATCAAATGGTTATTAGTGAACTGAAGAGAACTGGAAGGAAGAAGTCCTGATATCTGTCTGGAGAAACTGAGTACAATCACAAAGAAAAATAAAACACAGTAGCCAATTTCCAAATCAGGATTACAACCTGGGGCACACAGCAAGGGAAGCAGGTGTGATAACCACTTGTCCATGACACCCAATGGTAACAGAAGGAATTCCACCATATGTGTATACTCACTGCCTTGGGAGACGAGGACGGCCAGAGGCAATAAAATAAAAACTTTCTCAACAATTACCTTCTGCGAGTAATTCTACTCCACTAAGGGCTCTTGTATTTCTTGTCTTCCATAATATCTGAAGCATACTTACACCACTACATATGCCATAATGTTTTATCATCTCATCCACAGTGAGTGCCAGGTAGCTGCAGTTCTGGAAAAAACATTTCACATAGCCTTTTGACTCAATGGCCATGTCCCATGACACTTTGTGTACTTTGCAAAAACCGCGTCTCCTTGGAAGTAACTTAGCTTCGGGCTCCGCTTTCCTAAAATAAAATAAATGTTATCAACCAATTACTTCATTACTAAGTACTTACTATTTTCAGGAGTCAACAAATGTAACCTTTTGTTATGAATCAAAGAACAACATACGTCAGATGAAGGTTTCACTGGGGAACAATGGACTTACATGTACAGTGAGTGCCACACATCTGCAGTGATGAAGAAGAGAAAACTGAATCAATGATGACACCAACACAATCTTCATTTATACTTAACTACCACTCACAGAATTCATATGAAGCACCTACAGAGTACAGATTTAATTTTAATTTCAATTAATTTATTTACGTGTTTGCCAACAGCAAGAAGCCAATAACAGGCAAACACTGATAATATATACAATAATAGTGAAATAATAATGCCAATAAAGGTAAGAAAAATCTCAATAAAGAAAGGCTAATTATATTTTAACAACAGAGTCATGCCCTTCTAATCGCGAAACAATTCTTAACAACTATCGATGAAGTAGCAAAACTCCTGCACATCAATCACTGCTCTACTTATCAAATCATCCATGACAGACATCACTTCCATAAACTGTGTGCAAGGTAGATTTCCAAACAACCCACTGAATAAGATACGTACAACCATCCAGATACTGCACCTGCCTTTTAGACCAGAATCATGAGGTAGGTGAATATGACAGTGCATGCTGTGTGACAAGCTGAAAGGGGCACTTCACAGTTGAAATGATGCAGTAGTGATGACCTATGACTTGGTATCCTCTGGCTGCCATAAAATTTTACTGAGCAATTGATCCCTGTAATGGTCCTCCCTTGTGTTTCCTTTAAGGTAGAAACTGCAAGTTATGGTTGCAATGATTCCAATTAACTGATCTTCATAATGGTGATGTATTATTGATATTGCAGTCTTGTGTGTTGTTATGCCACGAGGTTGATAAAATTCTGCCGGACAATGCACAGCAACTACCCAGAAGACAACCATCTTCATAATCACTACCATTAAAACCTCAGATCTCATATAATGCATAATGTTTTATTTGAGATAGGAAATTAATTTTCTGGTTGCAAAAATTTCAGGCCAACCATGTAAGCTTTGCAATGGTGATATATCTGCCATCTGTCTTCTATAAGCAAGCACCAAAAGTTACCATTCCCAAAATAAAAACCTGCAGGCAATAACTGTGCATTGACTAACTTGAATTATAATGTTACTATACAAACAAATTTGATCACTAAAATGTATAATTCTTACTAAGACATTGAAATTTTGAAGGAAAATAAGTTATTCCCAAACCTGTCATGATAATGAGTTGGAAAGGACAAGGATTGAGTCACGTCTACACTAAGAAACATACCAACTGAACATACCTAATTTTTAGCCAATGAGAAATAATGAAGACAATTTATAGCAAAAACTGTACTCATCAACATGATAAATGTAAGATTTGAGGTGATAAGTGTTTCACATTATGTGTACTTCCTCCTCAATATGTGCTGTTTTTAAGATATAAGAAACAATAAAGTACACTATTAAGCAAACTTCATAAATATGTATACAAAACAAAACTAGTACGTGATACGCCATGTATTGCGCCAACCATGTTGACACTGTTGTCAAGAAGTCTTCATCTAATTGTAATAAATTCTAAATGGACTGTTACATAAATACCTATGTCACTGGCTTGGTAAAGTGATCAGAATATGTCTTGATAATAATGAAAAACTCACAATTCATTTTTAGCCATTACTCGCTGCAGTGTCTTTCTGTAAAAGCCATCACCAGGATGTGACTTCTGCACGTGGGCTTTCAAATCTTTTTCAGTACCCAAACGATGCATACATACTGGGCACGTATTAACTGCAACAGATGACTTCTGCAACACACACACTGCACTGAAGAACACATCACAACAACACTGTTAAGAAATGCAAATCAAATACAAAGATATGCACAAAGGGGAGACTCAATCCAATGGTACACACAGAGTAGTTGTGATGCACTTCTGACTTTTTCTTCAAGAAAGCCTGGGAAACTCTGTGGCATGACAATGATGTAAAAGTCACATTGGCACCAAATTTAACATTAGGTGTTCGTAAGCAATTAAACATCAACTTTAACTTCATTTACAATTTTTTCCACATCACATAAATGGCATACTTATCGAGTCAAGAATAACGGACACTGGCTATTACATAAGGAAAAGATATTTTTCCATCAATAAACACAATCAGATAAACCTGATTTAGGCCAGCCCTTCCTGATTCTCTTGAACTTGCCTGCTGGAATAATCTAAGAGCAAAATTAAATGCAGTGGCAATAAAGAATCATCACAGACCACCACGTAGGAAAGACCAACCACTTCCAACAGCCAGCTAGCCAGCCAACCTAACTTGACATACAACACAGAGAACACTAGGATTCAGAACAAGTTTCCTGCCACACATAATTCACAAAAAGACAAAGGAATGTGGAGAAAAGTCAAATGTCATAATGTAATGTGGGGTTGTGTGGTGATCTGTTTCAGGGTGTACCACATAAACCTGTATTTTTGAAAACTATTGCACTATGTTGGGAAAAGTGGGGCATAAAGTGTTAAGCACTGTAAGTATCCTATTACTTTACTGCTAATTTCTGAAACAATGTAATAAATTGGCCAACAATGTGGATTTTATGAAAGGAGTAATGAAGTAAGTTGACACTTTTCTGAAGCATTTTTTAGACATTTCTGTAGGATTCTGGCATCCTTTGGGACAGCAAAGAAACAATGGCTGCTTGAAGAGAACTACAAATATTTCAACAGTTTTGCAAAATTCAGAGAAATTTTAGTAAGGAAACACATCACTTATACCAGATCATTCTATTATAAATTAGTCTCACAATCTATGAAGCCCACAGAATTACTTCAAACATAAAAGTGCCTGATTCTCTTAGCATATAAAGGTTTTAACAATGCCATGATATAATGGGGTAACAGGGACCCATTCAAACTCATACATACATCCCATTTGGCCTTTAAAATTTAAGAACCATTTCACAAAAACATATAAAAGAGTGTTATTCATTTAAAGGATTCTGATTCTGAAACACATAAGTATGTTTCTATTTTCTGTTGTTCCAATATTCATTTAAACATGAACTTTCTATATAATCCTTCATGATCAATCACAATAATGCCCACAAACTTCATTCTATATACAAATTCCGTAAAACCTTCTAGTCACATGTGCTCAGTCCTGCTCAAAAACAAAACTGATTCTGCTTTTATTCAATTATGCTTTGTTAAATGCAATGGTTGTATTTCACTAACTGGAAAATGATAAGTTGATTATGGAATATGATTTTGGAAGAAAGCAGCACCGGCCTATATGAAGGCACTATAAGAGCATTTTCAAGGGAAACTACCACCACAGACACACATTAGTAGTATTTTGAATGATATACATTTAAAGAAGTGCTTGAAAAATAATTCCAGTTTATTCAAATTGAAACATTCATATTAAACACTGCAGACAGTCTTAAATGTCAAAGTTTGTGACTCATCTAGAACAGATTCACAAGATTCATTACCTACACTGAAATAAACACACTCCATTTTCATTTCATAAGGCCACACTTCATGTCAAAACAAGGAAATGATGAAACAATGGGACACAATAAATATTACTTGCCATGACCTGTTACATAATGTTATTGCATCAACTAGTACAGAACAGTAATATACAGAGTATCCACATGAAATCTCCTCCATTAACAAACCAATTGAAGTGAAACCTACGGTAGATAGAAATACACAGTTTACGGTACTCTGTAGAGCAACTCAAAAAGTTGATTTCCCCTTTTTACAGAGGTCTTGCAGGTAATGAGTGGTGGCGCTGCAGTCAACAATACGCAAAATGGCGTCTCCACAACAGGTAGTTCAATGTTCAGTTCGGTTTTCCGAAACGAAATTGCCGATTACAGTTCAAAGAAATAACACTCTTATTGAGAACTAACCACACAAGAAGACCATAAAGGCCTGGTATGACAAGTTTCTGGCTACAGGTAGTATTTTGTGGCAGTCAGGTTCAGGCAAAAAACGCATGTCTGACAGAAAGGTGGAATGTGTCATGGAGCCTTTAAGAGAAGTCCAACTATAATAACAGTTCACCATTGAGATGTTTAACCACATTGATCAGAACACCAATTATTTATCAAACATGATATTTTCAGATAAAGCAACCTTTCTTACCTGTGGTGAAATGAATTGCCACAACATACACATCTGGGGATCAGAAAACAGGCATAGTGTTCAGGAACACGTCAGAGACAGCGAAAAGGCCAGTCTTTGGTGTGGGATGATAAAAAACAGAATTATCAGACATAACGGACCCTTCTCTTCGTTGAGCCAACTGTAATTGGGAACATTTACCTAGACATGCTTGAACAATTTGCTCTTCCTCACCTTCCACCTCAGCGACTCTGAAACTGAACACTGATCTACCTAGCATGGAGACACCATTTTGCGTATTGTCGACTGCAGTGCCACCACTGATTACCTACAAGACATCTGTATAAAAGAGAAATCAACTTTTGAGTTGCTCTACAGAGTGCCACAAACAGTGTGTTTCTATCTGCCATAGGTTTTGCTTCAATTGTTCTCTTAATGGGGGAGATTTCATGTGGATACTCTGTACTTTAAAGAGACAGCCCTAAAGAACCTGTGGCTTTGTTCACAACAGACCACACTCTAAGCTCCAGATTGATACAATCTTTGACAGGCATATACAGAGTGATCGAAAAGTCATGTAAATGAATCATGATACATGTTATGCTTGTCAAAGAATAAACTGCATTGAAAAAAGTGATAGTGGAACCACGGTTCCGGAGAATTAGACGTAAATACATCTATACGGAAAGGAAGTTTATATATTGGCATTAATCTAAATATTTCCTTTATACCCGCTTTACAATTGAGATAAGTTTGATTAAGACATTGCTTATTTAACTTGAATTAGTTATGCTTAAGATGGGTCTGTGGTAGCTGAATGTAATGTAAAGTAATGTAATGTAATGTAAGGTAAGGTAAGGTAATGTAATGAAATGTAATGTAATGTAAGGTAAGGTAAGGTAATGTAAGGTAAGGTAATGTAATGTAAGGTAATGTAATGAAATGTTTTATAGGTAACAACAATGCTAAGTAAACAGATGACGTTTCCTTGGTAACAATAATGCCAAGTAAACAATTGACGTTTGCTAGGTAACAATAATGCAGAGTAAACAATTGACATTTCCAAGGTAACATAACAATGCAGTTACACTTTTTCCTTTCACTTTTTGCCGAATGACACTAACCCGAAAATATAGACGTATTTAAGTCAAAAGAAAACAAAACAATGTTATGTTAAGCACTGGAAATGTCCAACACATTCAGTAATAAACTCTTTTCTTCATTTCTGATGTAACCCAGTGAAGAGTTTCTGCAATGACCAGAAACAGTTCACCAGACAAGATACTGTCAATTTGTTTGCCAGAGGAGAATTGGGAAATGTATCCCTAAACCCATTCTAGAAAGTTAAGTAAGAATGAGATGCCATGTAGTGTTCGACAATGAATACTCATTGTGCCTGTGAAAACGACATCCTTGCACTTTGACTGTTTGAAAAAACTGACACATTAGTGTAACCACATTACAACTTGATGTGGTGTGTGACCTCATGAATAGTCACAACATGTGTATTTATTAATCCAATTAAACTGCACTGAATTGCAACCATCAATAAATATTTTAATATGTGTTGTATGACTTTTTATCATCCTGTACAACAACCCCCAGTATTACTGTTCCACTTTCATAAGACTTATAACTCACCCCATCACACTGTAAATAGTGTTTGGCAATGTCAGTGTCTGACAAACTAATATAGTTGCACTCCATCATTGGACAATTGATGTATCCTATTTCTGCCAACGCAAGTTGCCAATGATCAGCAAATTGAGACAAGTGTCGCCGTCTTTCACAGTGCCACCTAAACATTCATAATATTAGTGTGATTTTCTCAAGCTGTACAAAAGAAGGTGCAAATTATTAATATAAAAAGAATCTATGTTAAAAAAGCTGTTATGTAATACTGTACATATAAAAAGTCTACACGAGAATTAAACATACAATTGCACACACAAATATATGCACATCAGAAACCAACATTATGAGAGACTTTTTTTGTCCTGACCCAGTTGAAGTAAAAATTGCCAATGAGGCCTGTACAGCTTGGACTAGTGTAAAATGTCAATACCAAGAACCCGATTTTTTAGTTTTGTGTCTTTCCTTTAAACCAGAGCATATTCTGCACATACCCTGTCCTTGTTTAAAAAAGTTTCAATGATTCCATCATAAAATGTAATATTTCTTTTGAATGTACATTTCCTATCCAAGTTGATCCTTCCATAACAGCAGGCTTTCACCTACTGACAGCTGGTCCTTTAGGAATGTAACTCTCTGAAAACTTCTGAATCAGATGGTCAAACACAGGTTTTACTTTCCAAATTTTTGGAAAAACCTGTCAGTTTAACTCCCATTGTCAGCAAAATGCAGGAATTTTGGAAGAAATAATCTCTTTTCTCTCATCATCTTATAAAGACAAGTGTTGCCAGTAACCTGCTATGGGAAAAATTAATGCCCATTTTAAGTTTCTGCATAATGCCTTGCAGCAATAATATTGAAAAAATGTATTCTTTATTAGTTAGAACTCTGCCTTTCTCAGCACCCCTTCTTTTCAGTTTGTTCACTTGTGTTTTTTCATTTTCTTTTTGTGTGTAGATATTTGTTTGCTGAACAATGAGCTCACATACCTAGTCATTAAAAAAGTGTTCATATATTCCTTTTTATCTTTCCCTCTTTAAACCAACATCACACTTTGGTCAAAATGTTCCTGTGTCCATTCAAAATCCACTCTGCATTATTACAATAACCCAAATCACCCACAGCACTGTCACTCTCTCTATCACTTTGGCCACTTGCACTTGAAAATTCACTTTGTACATTTCATGTATCACCTGTGACAGTTCCCACACTTCTACAAGTACCTGTACTATTTCCTAAAAATAAGTTTCACCAGCATTGGCTAAACTTTTTTGTACAAAATCCTTCTCTTCCTCACTCAGTTAAAACTGCATATAGCATCACTTTGTAAATTCCAACTGCTTTTAACCACATTTATACGGAATACATACAACAAATAACACAGACTTTTTCATAATAAACGGTCTTCATGGCAAAGACGAAGGTTATTAAATAACAAATATTTTTTGACGTCCAAAATGTTATTCTGTTGCATTCAGATGACAATATGTTCACCACATGAGACACTAGACAAGAAACACTGCCTTTAAAATACACTTGAGTCTGTAATAAACTACTGGTACAGTAATGCGAGGTCAGGAACCATGGTATCGAACTTTATGACCGAGTTAAAAAATAAAACACCATCAGATGGCAAAAGCTGTTGAGACAATCTCATCATAGATCCTACACAGAGCAAAAAAATCATACCATAGCATGCGGCACATGACTCACTGCCCAATACGAACTGGACTTTGAGTGTCCGCGCATGGCATGTTCTTCACCTAACAGGTTAAGAAGATGATTATAAAAGTTCACTCATTATGGATGAACAACTGCAGAGCATGTTTCTATAAATGTGACTGCAATACTTACAATTTCACTGAGGTTGAAGTACCATCACCAGACACAGATGCTTTGTCCTTGCCAGCACCGTTCTCTGAGCTCCAATTTTCTATTGCATCATCACACTTCAGATGCTGAAACAATACCCCGTTACAATTAGGAAAGCCACCTACACAATGTCTCAGCCAGGTCTGAACTATTTTTTTGGGTATAAAAGACACATCTGACTACATTCACTGTCCTGTACTGGAGTTCAGAATCTACCCCCTATCAAGACAATTTTATCATTAGTGTAATGCTTTTGTATTATAAGTATTTTATAAAAAATTAATACAAACACCACTATATTTACTTGTGTATAATATGCACCCTTATTTTTTTCATTAGAAAATGAAAAATCAAGTATTTGTGAAAGCACGCTTCAAAATAAAAATTATATATAGGTAATAAAAATAAAACATGGCTCCATCTCCCCTCCTCATTCTATGGTTGTGATGGCTAATCCCCATGGCCTGATACTCCTCCTAACCCTATATAAACCATCCATTTCAAAAGGCTCCTCTTTTCAGCCATGGAGATGAAGGCAGCAGGTTTCTCTGAAACACTGGTATACAGCCTATACAGACTTCATGGCTCAACAACCCAAAAGACCACCATTTGCACATTATCTTTGTTTATTGTTAACAAATATGTTCATTTTATTCTTATGTTTCCCATTAATAAATAAGTAAATAAATAAATATATTTTAATGTCTGGTAAACATAGGGAAGCACGCCACTAAATGGAATGACTTGTGAAGATTGCTGTCTTCTGGGTTGTTGCATCATGTAGTCTGGTAGAATTTCCACCAACGTTTCAGAGGTCATACTGCCTCCATCATGACGGAGGCAGTGTGACCTCTGAAACATTGGTGGAAATCTGTTTCTGGGTCAAAATGGTGGATCCAACTTTCATGACAACTCATAGAACTGAACTGGAAGGTGACATACTCAGCAGCATGTAGCAAAACCAACTGTATTGACACATCCATGTGTAATTTTGTGTTTGGTGGCATGGACGTGGAGAGTCCAACAGAAACAAACTTTCCAATATCCAAAAATAACAATAATCTCCTGCACTGTATTGCATCCTCTGACATGCTGGGCTGAGAAATCCTTGTCACTTTCCAGTCTTTTTTAATGAGCGTGTAAATTTTCTGCTCATTGCCTTCAGTTGTGGCTGTGTCAAACTGACTGCTGATGCCGTTGTTTCCATCTTTAATTTTTTCACCCACCATCAAACACTGCTGGTCCCCATGCAGGGTCCTCCATACATTCAACAGTCATCCACAGTTATCTTAGCTGAAATGTTCTCCATTAAAAAATTCTATCATTGTGTATTGGTAAAACAATGTCAATGACAGCCACTTTGTCACAAAAGATTTTGGGAACACTGACATTACATGTGCATGCACTGGAGCTGTATTCATAACAGAAAATATAAATATCATTACCAATAGTACACAGCACAAATGTGCGTGACTATGCTCATGACTTATGGTATGGCCATCATAATTTTGTTACATATACTGTGCTTCCTAAAACTTACAAGGGATGGAATGTTCTTGTCAGAAGTGTGAAAGGATTAAGTGTAGTCACTAACAAAGTATGTGCAGAATACTTCAACTACCAGAAAAATAATTAAGGAACAGACAGAAGAAAGAAAGAAGAACAAAACATGTAGGAGGGCGCGGTGGTGTGCGTGGAAGGGTCAGGGCGCGAGCCCGCCTGGAGCCGCCGCCGGTGCAGATCTAACAGCACATATTTCTTATTTGTGAACTGAATCACAAACACAATTACTAGGAGTGTGTACTGTATGAAATAAATACACTAAAACAAATAACTATGTTAAATGGAAAGCTACATGAAATGAAGAAGGGTTTAGGTATCTGATCATTTTGTTGTAAACAGGTCTTACTGAGCCAGAGTTAGATTATTAACTTGAGACAACAACAACACATTTGTAACTACGAGGCGCGTCCACAAAGTAAGTTTCCCACTCGTCCCACAGCTAGCAAACCTTATATTGCGCAAAGCGACTGTGCGTACGTGATAGAGTAATGACGTAGCATGGCGCATGCACTAACGGTACTTCCAGCGTTCTCACAGTAGCATCGTTGCAGCTGTTGAAGATGGAGGTTCTTATTCCAGCTCGGACCTCGCTCCCAGTCATTTCCATCTTTTCCTACACCTCAAGAAATTCCTGTCCTGTCAGCGTCAGCGTTTTGAGAATGACAGAGAGGCGGAGATGGTTGTCACACAGTGGTTCCAATCCCAGGCGGGCGACTTCTACGACACAGGTATTCAAAAGTTGGTCCTACGGTATGACAAATGTCTCAATTCCGGTGGCGAATATGTTGAAAAATAGCTGGACACTTGCTGTATCTGTTGCAATAAATATTTCCATGAAATTGTGTTTTGTTTCTGTAAACGGCCCCAGGGAAACTTACTTTGTGGACGAGCCTCGTACAATCAGGAACTTCTATTGTCACTTTACTTCAGCTAAGAGCATGTGGTGAGACTTTCCAAGATTATATTTATTATTTTAGTTTATGTCACAGTCAGCAGTAGCCTCCCACAATAATCAACTGCTGATCACGAACAGTTTAAACAACAAGCAGAAAGAAGAGAAATTTCCAGCTGAGTCTGAATGCGATTTTAACAGATTTGCTGTAAGAGTCTCACCTTATTTGACCCCTTCTGCAAAATTCCAGCATCCTCACCAGATCTCTTCCTTCTGACTCCACCATACATCTTCAAACACTGCAAACTTTCCTTATTTTCTTTCACAACAGCAGACCCTTTGCGAGACTGGGACTTGACAGAAATTACTGTCACTTCTCTATGTCCCTCCAAATTAGTCTTATTAAGTCTGTCTGGATCTACTGCTTCAGGACTTATATTTTGAGTCTCCAATAAAGGAATCAGCTGACCAGGTGCTAAGGCTTCTGGTGTGTTTACTCCAGAACTTCCATCTTTACTATCGTTCACGACAACTGGTTCCCCATTCTTTACTTTTGTAACCAAACCAACATCATTCAATTTAGAAGGCGAAAAAATAAAAACATTGAATCCCTGCACGTTTTGAGGTATGTTCTGCAGCTGCTGTGCTCCTGCATCCAACACAGGCATTCCTTTGGAGTTTAGAATCATCTTATTTAACTGAGGAGTATTCTTGTCACTGGTGCCTGCATGTGATGATTTGTGCCCATCTTCTGGCTCATCTTTCCCTGTTGCAGGAGAAGACATTGTGAGACACTTCAAAAGTGCTATGAGGAACTAACAAGATGCCATCATACTGCATCCGACCATAAAGAAACCTGAAAAAAAATGTAAAATTATATCTAATGAAGTGAGAAACAGAAGATAATGAAAAGATGGATAGGCTCCATAAAAGTCAGGGAAATTCTAGTGCAGTTAAGCTACTATCAGCTCCTCAAAGAGGATTGTGTTCTGTGAAGTGTGTTCATTGTTATAGGTAGCACTGAACAGATTATGAATAACTTGGAAAAGAAATAGTCATGGCTTATTTTAAAGTATTATCCCAGCATTGGATTGGAGAGACAGAAGAAAACCATGAAAATCCATCTGAATATCTGGTTTGTGGAATGAGATTTTACCCCTGTATACTAGGCACAAGTGCTAACCACTACAGTGATAAAGTCAAGTCTGTTTCAATGAGGAACAATATGCTCATGCACCTAAGTTCCCTTTGTATTACTGGGGAATGAGAAATTTATTGCTTATGTTCTGACACCTTCTGGTACTTAAACCTACACAGGTAAACTCTTCTTTCCCTCTTTTCCTTTCATACGAACATAATATTCAGAACTCTCAGATAAAGGTGAACCCTAAAATTGCAGTATTTTCAATTGACCTGCTAATACAATAACCTCTATGTAAATTAGCATGGGAAAGATGGCATTTACTAAACTCTACTACAGCGGGTATACGAAGGGTTGGTGCAGACACAATCTCATGTAAATCTACTAAATGGACAATGGAACAAAAATAAATAAATATGAGAGCAGACAGAATTCAACAAACAGACAAAGAAATATAGAACAGATAGGTACACATGAATGGGCCATTCCTTATCAACTCTGCACAGTTAAGAGCAAACACCTTATGGCCATGTCTAAAACTAATAAAATTTTGAAAACTTGTTAGGTTAGATAAAAGATGAAATGTTGAATTCAATTAACGTCATGAATGCAGCATTTTGAAAACTGAAATTTTTTTAATGTCTGCAATTTTAAAACAGTAAAATTCCAGCATTAATCAAGAAAGGAAGCTCATTCTTGTATCAATTTAAAGCTATAGAGTAGGGTTGGTTTCCTTTCAATATGTCACTTGCAACTGATGTAATTGGCCTTGGTCACTGTTTAACCTCAACATACCAAGAAACACAATTAGAATCATTTTCCACATTTTGTAAATATTTAAGTTACTTTATGGAAAATGACATGCTGGGATATGAACAGGCACAGGAAAAAATCATTTGTACTGTTATAAATGTTAGAAATACAATAATAAAATTATTATGTGAGACAAATATGCTTCATAGCACAGCCCCATAGCTTCCAGCCTTTAAATGTTATGTGTGTTAGTTCAGTCAGAAAAATACACGGTTATGATGAAGGGAATGGATCACAATACAGAAAGATGGCTAAAAACAAATTAGCAAAATATGTTACACAGCACGTTTAACAGCATCAGCACTGGAAAAGTCAAAGAGGATCACAATATTTAAAATATAGGCCCCCATTTATTATGGCTGATTTAGAAGAAGGAAAAATAACCATACCCAATTAAAATCATTCTGTTTCAATATGTAACAACATAATTTCATTAATAAATTTTTAGACTTTTAATTATTAGAAGTGAAAATCATTCTGCCAGCTGCATTGAGCTTTAATACAATTCTATGCTTTTGTGTATGCAGGAAGTCAATGCAATTAATCTCAAAATGCATTTTTTATGGTATTTAGGGAGATGAGTAATCTTATTTGCCATCAGATAAGCCAGTCTGTATCCCTCAAGCATCAATGTGACATTGTGATGATCTGTACACATACGAACAGAGTTCCACTTGCTCCAGCTAACACATATTTGCTGGTAGGAGTATTAAAGCTGCTACAAAGGGTCAGAGAAAGGCTGATAAATGCAAAGATAAACTACAGCATGTAACACTATTACAAAGGCATAGAGAATACTGATAACTGCAGAGAGATGAATCACAGCTTGAAAACTGAGAATCGGTTGTAACACGCCATGCAACAATATTCAATGAAGAAGTTGTGATAGTATGCAGCATCATGATTTTATTACAAGAGATCCCATTTTTGTATGTCTGACTACATTTTTTTTTTTTTGCAGAAAGAATTACATTTTGTGAGAAATCAAAAGTCAAAGGTTACATCAGGTGACAATGAAACTAAAAGTACTCCATCCATATGTCAGTTACATATCTCTGAAAAGAGCACTCCATTAGCCTTCACAAAAACCCATAAGAACTGTATAACTTGTACACAACATTATGATAATTTGTATAGAAACTGCATGACACAGGTGGCTGAAATTTTGAAATAATATTTTTTTTACAGTATCTATAAGCTCACCAACTTTCATCGAAATCTGAGAAAGTCACGTTGTGGATTGCAATAATTTGGCGTGGAATGACTCACTGGCCATGTCTGTCCTTACATAGGGACAGCAATACATCATGATTCAACTTGAGAACTACTTAGCTTTGGAGTTGGTACTAAAATCTCCGACTCCTTCATAAAAGCTCAATATGTATTAATAATGGTAAACCTACTAAAATGGTATCACAAGATATTTCATCACCACCACGTTAATCAACAGGCTACTTTTTAGACTTATAACCTATATTTAAATATACAGGGTCCGCAGTGGCCGCATGGTCTGAGGCATGGGCCTTCTGCTGCTTGGTCGCTGGGATCATGGGTTCATATCCCACTCAAGCCATGGATGTTTGACAGCGTTTTTCTGTGTTGTGCTGTCTTGTGTACAGGTAGAGGCCTTGCGACAGGCCGATCCCTTGTCCAAGGAGTCCTACCGAATATCTATAGATCAAGCCAACGAAAAGTTGGGACCAGGTCGTTTCCAGTATTCCAGTATTTAAATATACATCTAATGGTTATTGCAGAAATCTGTAGATTTGGAGACAGTTTGTATTCTTAAGGTATTGGAGCCAAAGTTACAAGGCATTATTCCCACACCATGTGGCTCAACACGTCATTGAATCTCCCTAAGCGTAAGGCCACCCACATGGTAGCGAAAGTGTTCGTAAGATTTTATGTCGAGGTCAGAGTCGGTACATTTTTACTGACTCCGACTCCACCTAAAATTGCTTTTGATTCCGACTCCACAGCTCTGGTGTTTAGGACTGACCATATAGGGTTATGTGGGCCCCAGAGGTCTGGATGCAGAGGATAAAAGAAAAATTCTCTGCCCCTGCTAGGGATGGAGCCCCAATCATCCACTCTGCAGTAAGACAATATACTGATGTACCCTAGCTACAG